TAGCAATTAATTGATCACTGATGACCACAAAGAGAAGTTTCAGTGAATGGTAGAGAAGGATGGAAGCCACTGAAATGGAATAAAGACTGTATTGGTGATACAGAAATCAGGAATAGTGAGCAGATCACTCTAAGAAGTTTAGGAATTTAGAGAAGAGATTAAAACGTAGAATGCAGCTGTAAAAAAGAAGGATCTCTTCCCCTTTGAGACAGCATGGAGGGACCTGGAGAGTATTATGCTAAGTGAAACAAGCCAGTCAGAGAAAGACAAGTATCACATGATCTCACTTATATGTGAAATCCAATGAAAAAATAAAATGACAAACAAAATAGAAACAGAGACATTGAAGCATGCAACAGACTTACATATTTCTGAGGGAAGAGGGGGAGCAGGAAGAGATTAATATAAGAACTTATATGCATATATGCATAACCCATGGACATAGACAATAGTGCAGTGAAGGCCTGGGGAGGGGGCTGGAGCTGGGTGGAGGAGGTCAATGGGGGAGGGGGGGTAAGGGGACATTTGTAATACTTTCAGCAATAAATATAAATTTTTAAAAAAACAACACCATAGCTTGGAAGATATAACAGGATCAACAGATTTTGTTTTCAGGTAGGGAACTCTAGAGCATGTTTGTAAGCCAAAGGCAGGGCACCAATGACCGGGAAGGGGCAAATGTAAAAGAGAAAGGCTTACAGAATATGGAAGGGACTCAATTGTTACTGTACAAAGCAAAAAACATATCCCTTGGAAAGAAGAGAAAGAGTGGTAAAGATAAATTTGGGCTGAAGAAAGAGTAAGCTGATGGTGGATACTCTAAATTTCCTCAGCATTGCAAAAGCCAGGATAGATTAGGGTAGGGAAAAAGCCAGGATGCTATTTCTATGATCTGGGGTAAGGTGAGGAGTGCCTGGATTGGAATCATTGGTGCGGAAATGGAGAAGTAAAAGACAAAGATACTTACATGCATACTTCTCAAAGGCAAAACCAATATAACTTGGGGGCTCATTAGTTATAGATGAAAAAAATGAGTAAAGATTCAAATTAAGGTGAGTGGAAAAATTATGATACTTCAGAAAGTAATAAGACAAGCGAGGTAATATATCATGTTAAGTTTCAAGTAATGGTACAACATAAAAGTAAAAATGCTGACATTTCACTGCCTATTATTCAGCATCTATTTACTGAAGGTCTACCTTGTACCAGATGCTGGCTCCAGGAACTGGCGAGATAATGGTGATAAACTTACATATGATCTCTCTCCTCACAGGACTTAAAGTTTACGTGGCAAGACAAATGGATACCGAGGCATTGTGCTCATTCAGGTGAGAATCCACAAACATTGAAAATACCCACTTCTTAAAAACTTAGGGGGGGAAAGGAGAGTCAACAACCTGTTCTGAACCAGCTAACAAGGAGGCCCTCACTCTGCATTAAGAGGAAATAAATATAATATGAAAGTGTTAGAAAATGTGAAAATGATATCTAAACGAACCATAAAACTTTAATAAGTTGGCAAAGAAGCAAGAACTAAAGCAATCTTAAACGACTTAAATTGGAAACATGGGAAGGAAAAAATAAGTTATTAATGGCAAAATAAATTTTGGTTCAAAACATGTTTTACTCTTCATCTGGGCCAATTTGGAAAGCTTTCATTTGACCTTAGATTTATCAAGGGTAAGTGTAACGTTCTTCCTTTCAAAGTCCATTAAGAATAAAAACCATAAATTAAGCACATCTATTCTCCAATGTGAATTAAGAAAAGGGTCTAAAAACAGGGAGACCCATATGAACCCTATGCCAATCAGAATAGAAACATGTGACACAAAAGAGTGAATCAACATTTAATTAATGTTCCCAAGTTTAAACCAAACAAAATAAAACTAAAACAGGGGTTTTCTCACTGGAAACTTACTACACAGAGCTTTGACATAGGAAGTCCAAAAGCAAACTAAAAAGCAAAAACTTTTCCAATAAATTATTTGCATTTGTAGGATAAATGAGGCTATCCAACAAAACAATGTGAAAATTCTTGTGTGTGTGTGTGTGTGTGTGTGTGTGTGTGTGTGTTGTGTGTGTGTGTGTGTGTGTTTAAATCAGGGACTCTACACAGGGGGCCAAATATTAGAGTTCAAGGGATTAAAATAACAACAGTTGGTATTTCTGTAGCAAGCCAAGGGCATTCAGATTTCAGTGGTTTTGTAAGAAGATACTCCTGAAGGAAAACTTTGGCTAGATTAACCTTCCAATTTTTGAGAAGCAATCATTCCCTATAGCTATTATTGCTTATTCTAACCTACTAGATTAGTCTAAATTCTAAAAACATCTGCATGATCATCTGAGAGTGAATTTCTCCAAGTCTGCTTACAATTACACTAATTTAGAGTTGTTCTGGTGGATTTATTTGGCTACTTATACTGAGTACAGTATTTCCAGAGCTTTTAAATAGGGACTACTATTTTTTTTAAATACCACAAAGACTAAAATGTCAGCTCTTTATTAACTACACTGGGAGAAAGGAGGCATGGTTAAATGAAATTCACAAATACTTCAAGTGCTTCTTTTTAGTCATTACTATTTAATTCTTCCCTTTTAGTGATGTCTTAACAATTTTCTATTTCTGTCCATAGCATCTTGACATGCTATTATTTAATTTTAATTTGTTTATTTTTTATTTTCTTTATTGATTAAGGTATTACATATGTGTCCTTATCCCCCCTTTGCCCCCCCACTCCCCCTCTCATGCCCAATTTTTAAAGAAGCTTTACTCAAAATGGAATTCTTCATTTTTAATATTGTGATTTGACAGGCATGAGTCCATTTACTTGATGAAAAGAACAGAGTGAGGGTGTGAGTCAGGGGCTGGGGGTGAGGTGCTTGGGCCTGTGAGCCAAATGCCTTGATTAAAATCCTAGTTCCACTAGGACAGTGGTCGGCAAACTCATTAGTCAACAGAGCCAAATATCAACAGTACAACGATTGAAATTTCTTTTGAGAGCCAATTTTTTAAACTTAAACTATATAGGTAGATACATTGCTATTAACTTAATTAGGGTACTCCTAAACTGGCCTTTGCTAAAAACGTCCTCAATCTGATTGAGGTACGTTCGCTGAGGTTGACCCCTTCCAACTCTCCCATCCACACTCGTCTTGTATACTTGTTTCATCTATCTCCTTTCCGAAAACTGACTTCTGCGCATGGGCCACGAAGTTTCAATCGCACTGTACGTGCGTGGTATTTTGTGGAAGAGCCACACTCAAGGGGCCAAAGAGCCACATGTGGCTCGCGAGCCACGGTTTGCCGACCACTGCACTAGGTCACCTGCTCCTCTACCTTCTCCACATCCGTTACCTGCTTGTGCTGTCAGACCATGACAACAGCTATCGATTAGATTAGAATCAGTCATTAGATAAATTCTTTCATGAAAGGGTCAGCAAGGCCAGGTGAGATTAAAGGAAAGGCTTGAGGACAGGGGAAGGAATCATATCCATATTATGCTGTATGAATTTACAGGTAACTGCACCTCAATGATTTATCAAGCAAATTGAATAACTGCATTTTGCTACAAGTGTTCCAAATTTCTTCCCTTCCCTCTTTCCTTCCCTACTTTTGACTTTTTTTTAAAATAAGAGAATAAAAAATTATTTTAAAAAAGAAAGCAATTTATAAATGTTTATTTTCTTAGCATTATCACCGTGGACCAATCCACTAGAAACTGGAATTATCACAAGAAAGCATGTTCTTTTAAGAGTTCATTTTCCAAACAAAATAAGTATGGGTTTAGTAGTGGGTGAAATAAAAAATATTTCAGATTCTTTGTAACATCCCAAAATTATTTTTCAAAAAAAATTGGTTTTGGCAATATCGTCTACATGCCTTTTCCCAAAAATGTCTCCTTCAGAACTGTGGGATGGACATGTTTAGGGAAATTTAATTTTTTCTTAGTCTAGATTTCCTAATCAAAGTCATGTGAAAGGTACTTTTGAGGACTTATAAACATTTTAAAGATCTTTCTTTTTAGTTCAATTTAGACAAATAAAAATAAGCACTACACAAATAGATACTTGGCCAAAAGGTACATGAAAAAGTGCTCAATACCTTAGTACACAAGAAATGCATATCAAAATGATAATGAAGAGAGAACTACACTAGAATAACTAAAATGAAAAATAATGACAACACAAAACATGGCGAGAATGGGGAGCAACTGGAACCCTTCCTATGTTGCTTATGGGAATGTAATGGAAAAGTTAGGAAAAAACAAACAAAGCAAAAAAAATTAAATATACATCTTTCCTGGGAGCCAGCAACCTTTCCAACTTTTTTTTCCCTTTTTTTGTCAGTAGTGGAACAATCCACCCATTTTACTTGCAAAAGGTGAACAGAAAGCTACTATATTCCTCTAGGACATTTACCTTTCCAACTTTTAACAGTCTTCCCTAACTGCCTTCGGCCTCATCCTCTGAGCCTTCATTACACTTCTCACTGATACTCCCCATTTGCCATGTGGCTTATTCTCCCTTCTGGTTTATTCTTTGTTAAGAAAATATACTGCCCAGTCAGCGTGGCTCGGTGGTTGAGCATCCACCTATGAACCAGGAGGTCACGGCTCAATTCCTGGTCAGGGCACATGCCCCGGTTGCGGACTCAATCCCCAGTGAAGAGCGTGCAGGAGGCAGCCAATCAATGATTCTCTCTTATCATTGATGTTTCTATCTCTTTCGCCCTCTTCCTTCCTCTCTGAAATCAATCAAAAAAAAGAAAAAGAAAAAAGAAAACATACTTGCATGTGTTTCTATTCAGGTAGGTGATAACTCCCTGAAGGGTAAGCCTTTGCATTCCCCTTACATCCAGAATGGGCTGGACAGCTAAGAGGTGACCTGTAAATGCTGATGCTCCTGATATTTACACATTCTTCTAAGGCATGCACAAATACTATTAAAAGCAGGCACTAATTTTCAGATGAAAAATAAAGTCTTCCATTATGATGAGTTACCTGTCATTGGGACAGTGACTCGGCAAGGTCCAGTCATGGTGTGGATTAATGAGGAAACCCCAGGACAGGAAGACGGAGCTTGGTGTCAGAGTGCCAACCACCAGCTGGAGAGGCTTGCGAGAGCGTGTTTTGCCTGTGAAGGTGACATACAGGTTAATTCTGTAACACTTAGTGTATTTTCATGATTGGGGTAAATGCATGAAGATGACTTGGTAAGATGAAGAAAAGTGTGAAAGTATCAAATTCCTTTTATACAATGCACAAATATTACTAATTCTTTGACAATGAATTTAAGCATGAATCAAATGAAATATTCCTTTTGATATTTATGTGTGTGTATATGTGCATATATGTATATATTCATATATGTGTAATATATATACATACAAACTATATCCAATTATATCTAGTTTTTATTTTCTTGGGAGTCAGGGATGAATATGGAGGTCTTGGCTGTTACCAGTAAAATAAAAACACACACATTTTCATATACATATACATACTATATTCACATATACATATATGTATGTATGTATATATACACACTCATTCCATTTCTTTTACATACAAAATTAAAACATGCTGTTTTTCCCCTGGAACTGTGAATTAGTGTGAAATAACATCTGAGAAAAGAAAGCTTAGCATCTAGGTGTAGGTATATTCTCTCTTTAAAACCTATTTTGTAGTGTAAAATCCCCATCATACCATTAAAATAAGAATATTTTTTACAGTGAGTATCTAAATGGAAAATGCAGATACACTTTTAACAATGCTGGGAGAGGAGGAATAACAGGAAGCACAGCTGTTCTGATGGGACTGAGTAGATTTGGGCAATGCTGATAAACCACTGTAGATTCTTTTCAAGTATATAGAGGCCAGACATTTGCATTTCCAAAAATATGTGAAACTGCAAGAATGGAAACAGTGAAAAAGAGAAGGGAAGATCCTCAACCATAGAATCCAACACTGTCTCATAAAACAGAGTAAATAAAATAAAAATCCAATAGCAGACCTAATAAAACTGCACAGAGCTAACATAAAACATATGTATTTGTATTCTCATTGGATTCCCCTTTCATTTCATGAGACTATGGGTATTGTATTTGCTATAGGACAAACTCGTGTTATCTTAGTCTAATGCAAGAGGGAACCAGCGGGTAGGAAGGTACTCATTGTATGAGCTTAGTGGAGCTTATCTTAACCAAAAGTCCTTGGAAATTGTGTCATTCTGTTGCTTCTACTAGATTTAAGTTCTGAAAGTTGTTATTCCAGTGAAAAAATCTTCTGAGCCCAGAAAATACATAACCTAATGATGACAAACTGCTTCATTGTAACATAGCTGAATTTTTACAAGATATTTGAAATAATTTTCAATGATAGTTATTGTTTACTTGGTTGCAAACATGCATTTATACTTCTCTGTAGATTTTTCCAATCCACCAATCATAGTACCTCGTACGATTGTGATACAAAGAGTCCAAGTCTGGGCGCCAAGGCAGGCAGATTAAAATCTAAAATGAGGGTAGGGGGCACCGGTAGTTTTAAAAGGCCCTGAGGTGATCCTGGTGTGCCTTTTTCCACCCCTGCATTGATTTTCACTAATGTAATGTAATACTAATGTAATCTTATTTTACAGATAAATATAACTTTCAACCCACTGAACTTTCAAGGGTGGCCAAGGTCACACCAAAGGCAATTGTAATCTAATTTTCTTTTTACTGCATCATTGGTTTAGCTCACACCTTATGAATATGATGCCACTGAAAGACCACAGATACATTTTTCTTTCACAAGGGAACCTATGGCTTACATGACCCATCAAATAATTATTTCACTAAGTTTGATTTTAATATAAAATGATTAAATAATCAAAATGTATGTGGTAGATGCAAATATAAAATGAATGGAAGTGAATCCATTAGTCATGACAGCATCCTCAAATGCAGATTACAAAAACAAAAATGATATCTGCTGCCTGAAAGGAAAGGTAGGGCATTATATCCTGGCAAGATGAAGCAGTTTCCTGCGCTGGGATCACAAAGTGAAAAATGACTGCTAAGGCCAGTGTCATAGCAGCTCCAAAACGAAGTGAAGTTATGAGGTGCTACTAAGGTGCAATCGCCGTCTTGACTTTCCTTATATATTTTTGTATATGTGTATTATGATCATATTTGCATTAAGAAACAGTCCAATGAATATGAAGCCAGAATCCCATGGAACCAGACTCATGCTTCTTGACTTTATTGTTAAATATTTTGAAATAGAGTCTTGAAATATTGTGAGATTATTTATTTTGAGGAGTATGGAAAGCTGCCTGGACAACTATTGTTAACACGTTGTAAGCAGTGATTGAAATTTTCCTTGGACTTTGGGAAAATATAAAAGGTCAGGAAAAGGAATGTGTATTTTTCAAAATGCTTGACTATTTATTGCTTCTCTTAAAAGAAGTGGAAAACACCAGAAGGAGGGGGGAGAGGGGAGAGGATTGTGGCAACTGATTTCTGTGAACCAGGTTTGGCTGATTCATCTGGAAGACAAACACACAGCTGCCAGGGACCCCTTGCTGGTCATAGTTAAAGATCTGTATGTTCTCCCCACCCATTTCATACCTTAAAAAATATGTAACGAAAGTAAAACAAAACAAAAAAGATCCTTTTTTTTGTGTGTGACATCCAGTGTATTATAAAAGATAAGTCTGATTAGGAAATAATTATTTTGAGAACAGTTCACATTGGAAGACAAGGTCAACTCTACCTACAGAGTTAGGAAGGTGTCGTATCAGGTGGTCAATCATATTCGCAGCTATAATTGGTCCCTCGTTATAGCAATGGCAACTCATTTGATCTGAGAAGACACTTAAGTAGTGAAACTGGGGTAATTTCAAGAAGGACTTTAATCTTTTGATCACATGGAAATAATTCTACTCATTTATTCTTATGGCATCTATGTTCCCATTTTGAGACGTCCTATCCATGGGAAGATGGGTGTTGCATTGCTGTTTCATAAAAGGAGTTCTTCTATATTTGACTAAATAGAAGAGGTTTAGAAGGGAGAGATCAGGATTAAATAAAACCTAAGTTCCAGTCTATTAATCCAACACATATAAATTAATTATGCCTTTGAAATGTAAACAGTCTCCTTCAGCAAAGGTTAGACATCAAAATCTGCCTTCAAAATCTGAAAGGCCCAATGGCAAGCATGAGGTCACACATTTCAAAACAAAGACACTAAGAGGAACAACTCTCAGGGCACACTTGCTATGAGCCAGGCCTTGTCCTAGGTGTGGCATATCCACAAACTCATTTAATTCTCACGATGACCCTAATTGTGCAGCAGAAAGGAGGCACTGAGAGGTTCAATATTTGCCTAAAGCCCTGCAGTTCACATGTGGTAGTACTGGGATAGGATCCCGAGAAGTCTCCTCCTGCCTCTGCTACTAATCTATTGACCAGAGCCTGCTGCGCATGTTTCAACTTCTAAACTGCATTCTTAAGGCCTCCCCAAGGCACTGGGTCTCCATGGGTAGAAAAGAGACAAAAAGTCATGGTTTAGAGTTAATAAAAAACAAAGTGAATTAAAAATACCTGAGCATGACTTCTTTTGACTTGGTGGAGGAGCAGGTCGCACGACAATCAGATATTTAGGCTCTGCATCTGGAAATAATAATAACTTTATTTATCAATAAAATTCTTTGAGAACGAGCAGCATTTGCCACAGCACACCCATGTCCTGACTCAGTGCTCCCAACTTTAGTCATCATAACCACAGTGGATGAGAGGACCCAGGAATTCAGAAACTTAATACTTCTTGCATAGTTCAATTTAATTCAGGTTTTAAAATGAAAATTAAATCCAGATTTTTAAGACCAAATGGACAGGGGTAGGGGATAGTTCTTAAAAGAATCTTACTAGACATGGATTTCATGTCACAGCTTCATCAATCCTTTCCCCTGTAGAGAGATTTTTCAAAAATTAGGTCAAATCGATTCTGTGATCCTCTTTCTCACAGAGGTTCATCCTGATGCTAAAACCGGAGATGGGAAATCCCACTTGCATAAAATATATGGTTGTGTCACCTGTTGTATGATCTGAAATGGCTCACTTTTGTGAAGATATTATTTTGTTGTTTTTAATCCTCACCTGAGGATATTTTTTTCCATTGATATTTTTAGAGAGAGTGGAAGGGAAAGAGGGAGAGAGAGAAAAACATTGAGGAGAGAGAGACACATCAACACATCAATTGGTTCCCTCCCGTAAATGCCCCAATCAGGGCTAGGGATCAAACCTGAAATCCAGGTGCATTCCCTTGACTAGGAATCAAATGGTGACCCTTTTAGCTCATGGGTTGAAACTCTAACCACTGAACAACACTGGTCAGGGCGACATATGAGTATTTATAATGACCTATTTTATCTTGTTACATAATTTCTCAGCCAGTCTCATATCTAACCAGTCATTTGTGTGAAAAATTTTAAAATAAGCTCACAATTTTAGGTTGCTATGATTTTCACCTAAAATATGCCAATGGGAAATAAATTAATAGAGAATCTGTTTTTAAAATATTTAGGTTTTAAATAAAATGTTTAAATAATTAGTATGTGCTAACTCAATCATGAGCTAATAATTTATCAAATGCTCTTTTTTAAATTGACGTTTCCAAGGTCCATGGTTGGTTTCAATATATGTAATAAAGCAAATACACTTGGGGCATACTAAATAGCATTTTATAAGCAGCTCTACTAGAATTACTCAGTGATGGGTATTATTTATAATAATACTAGTAGCCTTGCGCACGAATCCGTGCGCCAGTAGGTCGCTGCCACCCTCCTGTAGCTCTCTGCCCACTTCCCTGCCCTCCTCTAGCTTCCCCCCTCCTTGCCCCCCTCATAGCTTGCTGCCCTGCCCCCTCCTGTAGCTCTCCACAGCCCGCTTGTACCTCGCTGGCCCACCCTCCTGCTGATCCGTGATCTGGTTTTGATGCGCTTCATCATTACGCCTCAGGGTGTAACGGCTAATTAGCATATTCCTCTCTTATTATATAGGATATTTCTTCAGTAACTTTGGATCCTGAAACTCATTCTACTCCAAGTTGCATTCAGACACTGTAATCAACAAGAGTTCCCCACCACTTGCTCAGGCACATTGCACATCTTGGTGTTGTGTTCATTCTGGGTTCACAGAGGCCTTGTCTGCCCCCGGCTTTACAGAACTGACCTCATTCTCAGCCAAAGGCAACCTGGAAATTCAACTGCCTTAAATGACTAGAGCCTTTGTTTTTTCCTGGACATCTCACTGCTCTATTTGCTATAACTTGCTGGGTAATTACCACAGCATAAACCAAACCAGGGAAGTTCAGGATAAACAGAGCTCTGCCTGTTTATCATCTAGTTGCCTCGTGAGCACAGCACAGATAAAGGAGCATTCATTGTGTTTCAGAGTCTCAAGTGTTTGGAAGCAAATCCTGTTTAGTGAAGCTTATGTTGGGAATGCGTTTAATCTAAATCAAGTTTCCTAGTAGAAATACATTAACCATTTCCTGATTTTATTTGGGATATAATGTGACATAGGTATTAAGAAACTACCATGTATTGAGTATTTTCTGTGTGCAGGATACAGTGGGGCCTTGACTTATGAGTGTCCCGACTAACGAGTTTTTCAAGATATGAGCCGCCTCTCGGCCGATTTTTTCTTTGAGTTGCGAGCTAAAATTCGGGTTACGAGCCAGCTTCAGATACCCCACCGCTAGTTAGCACAGCTAACATCACAGTGAACGCCACATCATCAGCCCAGCATCACGTGTCTCACTCGTTCACTGTTGATTTGGCATACGAGTAATTTGAGTTACGAGCTCCGTCACGGAACGAATTAAACTCGTAAGTCAAGGCCCCACTGTACTTGTTAAGCACTTTACATTCATGCCTTAATTACTCTTCATGGCAATCCTCCCAGAGACATCTTATTATCACCCCTCATATGTAGATAAGGTCACCGCAGCAGTCAGCTTGATGGGCACAAAACGTAGGCAGTCGCACAGAGTCCTGTGCCCAAAAGGGTGCCAAGCTTTGGTTTAATAACCCACTGTCACCATATTGAAATTGTTAACACTTTTGTCTTTGACTTTGTGTTTTGCAAGGGAAGTTTGATGGAAGGATGGAGCATGCGAGTGAGCAAAGACCGGAACAATATGCATGTCCTCCCATCCACATAGAGCATTCGAGATACCCCATTAGCCCAGCATGTCAAAGGATCCATGATTGTCTGGGAGTTCAGCAACACTCAAAGGTAGAACAAGGTGAGCATATTACATCTATGACTGAGTAAGGGCCACAGTTCCCATTTGAACCAGAACTTGATTCAAAGCATAATGAAGGCAATAGCCTTTTAAGAAACACAAATGAGTAAGGAATCCAATTGTATTCTTCCTTACTCATGTTACTTCTTGTATTCACCAACTACTTATGCTGGAAATGATGATGCAGAAGGAATAGTTAGAGCAACCCCTAGTTCCTTTTCTTTTTATTCTTCCACATTCATAGGCAAGTCAAAGGCAGAGTATTGGTAGTGTGTGCACGTATCAAGAAACGAAATAAAAAGTTGAGTTAGTTTTGTACATTTCCACTACTCTGGTAAGAATGAAATACATGTATGAACTACCAACTGCAAATTGTGTAACGTCAGTGATACTGCTTTGGAGTTTAAAGCACTTATGTTTGCACTTAAAACTAGCATTGCCCAGGATAATGCTAAATGTTAAAATTGATGCTGATAATAAACAAACTTAATTTAATGACATTAAGGAGCAAATAAAATAACACCAGGACAAGCTGAGAGGGAAACTCTGGAAGAAAGGGAAGAACTTTATATTTTAGTACCTTTAGTACCCCCCACCCCCACTGCTTTTTGAACCAGGAACCCTTCATTTTTATTTTGCACTCGGCCCTGAAAATTATGTCGCTCCCTTAATCTAGTCCTCAAAATGCCCTTTTACTAAAACTCTGGAATTTACTTCCAGAAAAAAAAGCTAAATCCCTATTTTTCTTAAATTGTCCTTAGTGAGACAAAGCCTCTTAGAGTTAGCCTTTTATTTCCTTCCTTGATACGCATTAACCCAACTATGCCTCAGTGGTTTTTAAGAAGACTTGGAGTACTAGAAAAATAACATGCATGATCCAAGACATACAAGCAATTTAAAAGTAATTTTTGTTATGATCCCAGTCATTTTGTATAAAGCAAAGGCGGTTACAGCCAATTACAAATTGGAACAGATGTTGGAATCTGGGTGCACATGTGGCCCTCTCTGCTCATTAAAAACTTTTAGTGTTCATGGATTTCAGCAGTGTTTGCATTTGAGTGGTAACACAGATACGGAAAAATAAAACAAGTGAAAAAGAAGATTTCTATTTCTGATCTGAGCTATGAAATTCTTTGTGGGTTTGTAGCAACCTGGAAATATACACAACAGTAGCCTGATCAGAAATTCTGGTAAAACATGCCAAAATACATGACTCTTTCATTTAAAGCATGTGTTAACTAAAATGTCAATTTAAGAAAATCGTGTGGAAAGCAGTTACCTTAACAAATGTTCCTTTCCTAATAGTTAAGCCTGTTGTAGACTATTTATATCTAATTTGCTTACTATTTTAAATGCCCTATGGTAGACTATAGAGGCAGTTTACTGTTTGGGGAAATCTACTATTGAAATCCTTTATAAGGTACTAGAGTTTTTATTATATAAATAATCCTCCCATAATTGCTGTGTTTGACAACTTCCAATTCTCTCATTTTTTAATAGAGGACATCTGCCTTGCAAGCCACCTGCTTTAGAATGCTGTCACAGTGCCGTTTGTTTCTGCCACATACATTTCCACACGATAACCATAAAATAAGCCAGATGATCCTAAAGAAAATCAGGTAAGGGGCATGAAAAAAACACACACCATATTTACTATGCCATCTTTTTCGCAATTTGGTTTCATGTCAAACTATGGCATAAGAGTGTGGACTCTGGAGCCTGGGTAATCCTGCTCAGCTACTTATCAGTACAAGGTGAAGTACTTCACACCTGTGCACCTTAGCTTTCTCATCTTCAAATTGGAAAAAATCATAGTACCAGTCTCATGGGGTTCCCAGGGACGAGTAGCCTACAGACCGCCTCGCACACAGGAAGTGCTCATGTAACTTTAGCCATCATGATGACGAGGATGATTTCTTGAAGCAGTTTTTGCCTTAAGAGGTCCCGGGGACATATTAGAAGTATGGAAAATCTTCCAAACCTTTTGTTCACAGATTCCAAAATACAAAAATTTCATAGAAAAGAAAATTATACTGATAAAAATTCTGTCCTTGACCCATATTCTCTTCTTCCGAGCTCTTTCTCAACTAGGCCCTGACTGTTAGGATTCTGTGTTCATCTCTGCATTGTCCAGTTTTAGGGAGAATCCTGCTTAGATGGTTTAGCCAGAATTCCCCATCCTCCATACTTCATCACCAATGATACCTAATCAGGTTCTGATCCTTCACCATCCCTTCACCATCTCTTATCCTTCACCATACCTCAGGAGGTATCTGATCAGCCTGGCTTGCCTTCAGCAATAATCTGTTAGGTCAGTTTAACCAGAATTCCTCTTACACTTGATGTTTCCCCTTAGTAATTT